GTCCCGAAGGCACACGGTTTGAATCCACTAGCGGCTCTGCAGGAGAGGGATGGGCAATCTCCTTCCAGGCCATTAACTGCCTCTGAAAACCTGCTGTAGGGTCAGCTGTGCGTCAGCCACACAGCAACAACAACACACGGAATTACAAAGTCAAGTGTTTTTTTAAATTTTTTATTTTATTTTTTTTATTGTATTATTTTTACGGGTACCGTCAAATCAGATCTGACTGGTACAGGAGGAGGTTGCCTCCTCCTTCTCCAGCAGAGCATCTGGTGGATTTGAACCGCGTACCTCTGTGACTGCAGTGCAGCGTCTTGCCACTAGGCCACCAGAGCTCCCTAAGTGTTTGTTTTTAAATCAAAATATACAACCCTCCCTGAAACTAACATAAGTTACAACATAAGTGAATACCATTTCAGAAAATATTGGAGAATTTTTTTTCATATAAATCTACTTCGGTCTAGAATTATCGACATAGAAGTCCACTTTAAAAAACACCCTATTTTTTGGTAGACATCACTACATGTAGCAATTTCATGTTTAGAGCCACTTCCAATCAAAATGACCAAGATGCATAGTAATTAGCATTGATTCATGGTCCTAATTCAGAGATAAAACAAGTTGGTGCATCACAGGATTACTTATTCAGTATTTTAATTACCAATTAAAAGTGGTTTTATAAGCCCTTTGTGACTATCTTTAATGGAACCCCAAAAGTACAGATAATGCGTATAGGAAACCCACATCCCATTGCTACCAGGTCAATTCTGATTCATAGCCACTGGACACAGTAGGACTGTGTTGTGGGTAACAGAGATTTCAAGTGTGTGAATCTTTGTAGAGGTAGACGGCTACACTGTTCGGCTACGGAGAGGCTGGTGCATTAGAACTGCCAAACTTTTGGTTAAGAAGCCACTTTAATACCTCTCTGGACACCAGCAGGTGCTGACGTGGTCGTCTCCTAGGCTGACAGTGGATGTGTCTGGAGCCTCTGAGCTGTGGGCCTGCCGTCTGGGAGGCCGAGATCCTGCCTCAGACACACCTCGCGTGCACGCTGCCCGGCCAGCCTCCTCGCCCATAAATCCTGCCTTTGCAAGAGAGCTGGGCAGCCCCATGGCCCTAAACCAAGATTGCTTATTGGCCTGGAATGTGCGAGAGATAATTTAACACCAGTTGGAAATCACTGTCTCCGTGTGGAGCATTGCCAGGCCTGGCGGGGGCTGGAGGGGGGTGGGGCGTGTGCACGCTGCTCAGTCACCCCTCGTGGCTGCCCAGCAGATAGGCTTCCTGGGACCACGGCCAGGAGAGGAGGACTCAAGGGGAAGGGGGCACAGTGGGCAAGGGGTGCCCCGGAACCAGAGTGGTTTTCCTCCTCGCTTTTATACACTTTTGGGGTTCGGCTGATAATTCCCTTGAGGAATGTTTTTACCTGCCCAAGACCCAAAGTTCCGTCGAGTTTGAAGAGCACGGTTGTGCACGAAGAGAAGTAGGTGAACCTGGTTTGCTGGTGACGCCTGATATGGACGGGGCTGAAATGACAGCAGTGTCGACCACAGTGATTTGGAGCCTGCCAGATTCCCATGGTCGCCTAGCGCTGTGCTCACCTCTGGGGAGTTAGGAACCTCTGCTCGTAGCTTGTGAATCCCTCTGGACTCTCACAGGCTACTGAAAGGCCATCACGGAGCAGGTCCTGACTCCTGGCACCCCGCACATGTCGTGGGTAGAACTCTGCCCCGTTGGGCTTTCCACGGCTCTTTTCTCAGAAGCACATGACTGAGGACTTGACCGTTTGCCTCACTCAGGAGCAACTGTATAATCATTAATTAGAAAAAAAAAAGAAACTTTGTGGGCTGAGGGTGACCATGTGAGTGAAGTAATAGGCGGAAAGTCAGCCTTGAGTGTCGGGGACCAGGTAAGAGGGGAGCCAGAGGGTGGGCAGTCTGTGTCCTGAGTGTGCAGGGGGGCGAGGAAGTGACCTGCTCTCCTTATGGGGGGCTGTAGATATATGGGGGGGCAGGAACAGTCACCCCAGCAAACAGACGAGACTTCTCCTGTGTTAGTGCTGATGATAGAATCCTGCCGTCGGATGCATCTCTCTTAGCCGGAGGCTGTTTATTTAGATCGTCCAGCTCTCTCTACCAGCCTGGGTGGTTCCTGGGCTTTTCTAGAACTTGAGCTTTAGAAAGGAGAGATCTCCACTGGAAGAAGCCCGTGGCTGTTGCTGACAGATGCCTCAGAGTCCAGTATGACACGTAGCTGCCGTGTGAGCAGCAGATGGGAACCAGCTCCTTCCCGTGCCACCCTCACAGCCTGCCATGCTCGATAGTGGGCAGTCACTGTGTGAGTCCATCTCATTGATAATCTCACCTCCCCATAGTAGAGCAAGAACTTCCTAGAGTCTGACATCTGCTGTTTCCCAGGGTGGTAGACATGGCCAGTGTGCTTTATTGGTAACCAGGGGAGCGCTGAAGAAGGGCCTGGCGATTTAATCGGAAAAGTTCCGTCCCTGAGAACCCCAGTTCTGCCCTGCCATGCCGGGGGCCCCATTGTGGCAGCTGGATGGGGGGCGGGAAAGAGCAGCAGATCCTTTGCTGTGCATTTTACCGCCAGGCACTGGAGGGAGATCCTTCCCTCCTGGTTTGGCCTCTTCCTCGCTTTGTGACCTACTGTGGTTGCTTCCTTCCTTGCTTTGTATCTGGTCTCAGTGGCCGGCCGGAGTGCAGAGAGAGGACAGCAGCCCGGAGGTGTTAAAATGCAGGACCAGGATGCAGGAGTGAGGGCGAGGCCCGAAAGGAAGGCCTGACGTGGAGAGATAAAGTGGTAGGAAGTGCAGGGAGGCCGCTGGGGCTGCTGTCCGAGGGCCTGCACATCCACTGGGGCAGCTTCTATTTCCCCCTGAGGTCAGGAGTGGGCGAGGCTGGCTGCTTGTCCCACACGCCGGTACCCCCGACTGTGTGTGTGTGTGTGTGTTGTGTGTGTTTACATAAGAATTAGTGGGAACACTCAGTGTCTGTCTGGGTGTTCTTGCTGTGTGTCCTTGAGCAGAACCAGGCCCTCCACCCCATCCTGGGTGTGAGGGGTCAACACTACCTCCTCTGGCTGCACCCTGATCTTTACTGCTTGTTGTAAAAGGCAAGTCAGCCAGTGTGGGGACTCAGCGTGGAAGTAGGACTCAGTGCTGCTGGGACACCAAGAACACAAGTGGGTAGGTAGTTTGGGGGATCAAAGACTACAGCCTTCAATGTGAGCTAGAAGTCCAGATTTATGGGAAGGCGCACTCTCTTCTCTCTCAGCCCCGGGAGGAGGCCCTCTCCTCAGCGTGGGCACTTCAGCTTGGGCACTTCTCGTCCCTTAGTGACTGTGAGGATAGGACAGAGGACCTTCTGCTGGATAAGGGGTCACTATAGACCAAGCTCAGTCCTAAAACCACCCGGCATGCTAGCCATCAATGTTTTATTGGTCAGCTGGGTAAACTGAGGCCATGGAGGTTATTTAACCTGCCCAAGACCCTAAGGCCCATCCCTGGCAGCCTTGTATCAGCCAGCACTCCAGGCTCTTGGAGTTCAGTTCCATCATCCAACCTCATTGGGTCCTCTTGCCCTCCTGGTGATCACCTAGTGGCTATGTTCAGAAGCCGAACTGCTCTCCATCAGCTCTCGCTTAACCCTCCCACGAGGTCTGCTCCTTTCTTGGTCCATCTGAGCTAACTGCTCAGCGTGTACTTAATATGCAGAGGCTTGCCCGAGGGTGGAGCCCTCGCAGCAGCCACGCCTCTGAGGGCAGGGAAAGGGGCGGAACATGCAAATAAACATAGCGGCTGGGCCTGGACTTGAAGGCATAGAAATGTATATAAAAATTCTTTATAAGAATATAGGGAACAAAAATCTTCACAAAAGCTTATCTACTTGCATAGTGTTGTCAAAGAAGTAAAATAAAATTTGATATAGGGAAGACTTATTCTTCTCACCGTGACTGTTAAATGTGTGCTGGGAGAAGGATTGTGGCGAGTACTAAGCTTTCAGTATCGCTTCTCGGCCTTTTGGCTAAGATCAAGTGTAGTATCTGTTCTTATCAGTTTAATATCTGATACGTCCTCTATCCGAGGACAATATATTAAATGGATTTTTGGAACTAGGAGATGGAATAGGAGCTTGCTCCGTCCACTCCACGCATCGATCTGGTATTACAGTACCTCCAGGAACGGTGCACTTCCCCCACTTTTGGGGGAAAAAACTTGGTTTGAAAAGCAGACTTAAGAAATAAACTCTTTTAAAGAGTAACTTTATTTCCCTTTCTGAAGAATGGCTGTTTTATTCTGTTAGCATTGTTACTTCAGGAAGGCTACATTTTTTATGAAACAGTGGTTTGTTTGAGACTTTTTTGACTCTTACATTTTCGTTTAGCTGAGACTTTTTTGACTCTTACATTTTCGTTTAGCTTTGAACCTTATAAAAGACCCAAATTATTTACTTGGTTGTTGGTCATGAAGCTTCTGAAACTGGCGGGGATGTGTGACTCCAGGGTGATTCGGTAGTTTTAGTTGGTAGGAAGCATATCAGAAGTTCTGACAATATATTTCGGTGCTGCATGTGTGTAAAGACTAAATGGCACACTTTCTGGGTGTATTGTAGCTGTCGCAGTTTTTTAACTTTTCCTGTGAACTTTGACACTTCGAGCGAGAGTGCGAGTTGAAGGGGGAGAGGTCGTAAAACGAAGAATTATACTTTTTAAAGAGAAGAGCCAGCTGGGGGGAGGGACGGGCAGGGAGGAAAAGTGCAAATAATGAATGAATGGAAACCCGAAGTCTCTGTAAACTTTCACTAACAATTAACACCACTATTTAAAAAAATCTTAATTAAAAAAGTGGACCTTGATCAGCTCTTCTAAACACGGCGTTGCTGGGCCTACCCCCGGATCGGGCTGGTTGTGCGACAGATGGGTTTTCTGCGATTGTTGGCCCTGGGCCGCCTCCTGACTCTGATGTGTCCTTGCCTCTGCAGGAGCCTGTGTGAAGTGCAGCAAAGGCGTCTTCGGGGCCGGCCAGGCCTGCCAGGCCATGGGGAACCTCTACCACGACGCGTGCTTCACCTGCGCGTCCTGCAGTAAGTGAGCGCGCGCGCGCGCGAGTGTGTGTGTGTGCGCGCGCGTGCTGCGCGCTCTGCGCGCTCTGTCATTCTCTGGCCAACAGGAAAGTGCCAGGTGATGCAATGAACTGCTCAGCTAGTTAAGAGGTGAGAGGAGAAGAATTCATGGCCGAGCACCCTCCCGACTTGGACATCCTCATAGTGACTGAGAACTTTTCCAAAACATAAGCAAAAGAAAATATTAACAAGAATTGTGAGATTTACACAAGACATCTTGTTTATTACAACGCTCTTTCCCTTTTTAAAGACTATATTCTTACTAATTTTGAGTTAGCAAGAGAATGTTTAATGCTCTGACCTTAACGAGAATATGTTGACATCTACTCACTAATTGACACCTTTGTTCTGTTGAACAAGTCAACATTTACTTGGGAATGTTTTCCTTGTTTTTTCACAATGTGCAGGTAGAGAATTTTCCCTTTAATAGAATTTTCTCTGATTATATTCTCTTGATCCAGGCAATTTCCGATTCACTTAGCTTAACTGCTACATGTGTGTGCATGGTTACGTACTTTTGTGCAAGGTATATACATGTGGACATGGATATGCTTGTGTGAGTGTTGTATGTGGGTGTGAATGGGTGTGCACTTGTGTGTGTGGTGTATGTGTAAATGCTGACGTGCATGTGCACGTGTGTGTATGTGCTTGTGTGGCGGGACACTGCAGCCGCCACCATCAGAGCTCCTTGCTGCTAGAAATAACAGCTTTAAAGTTCCACATGGATTCTAGATATGTCAAGATTATAGCATGGAGTTAAGACCCCACATTCAGTCTGCTTGATGTTCATGTCCTAATTGTCTCTATTTTAGATTTCCATACATACGATGCTTGCTCAGTCTTTTTTCCTTGTTCTCTGGTGTCTGAGGAGCCGCGCTGCCCTCCCAAAGATCAGCCGCTTGAATCTACCAGCTGCTCCATCGGGGAAGATGGCGATCTCCTCCGTGCGATTTACAGCCTCTGGAAACCTCCTAGAGGCTCAGCTAGGATTCAGTTTTGACGTGATGGGCACATAGCAATGAGTTGTGACTACAGTCTTCACATTATCTTGTAACATCTTCGCCTCCTACAGCTGTTTCTCCCTGTTGGCTCTACTTTCTAGGAAAAGGAGAAGAGAGGACTGTGTTTTGACATCTAGCACTTGTGGTTTGACCTAGGAAAGCTTTCGCAGGAAGATGAAGCGTGTGAATGAGTGAGGCTGTTGGTTCTGCCTTTGACTGTGTGAGGTTATTCCTTCAGGGACTGAGTTAAAGTCGCCTCTGTGACAAGCCCAGGTGCACTGACAGGAGGTACTTCGGTTCTGGCTTTTGCTTGGTGTGCTGGTCCCTGTCACCCTGTCCTTCCTTGCTCAGTTCATCAGTGATTCTCTCTCTGCTTCCATGTCCCTGCTCCTCCTGTTCCCTAGACTCTTCTCCACCCTCTACTCCACGCTCACAAGCCTTTAAATTCAGCCCTGCCCTGAAGACTCCCTCAAGTACATCCTCTGGCCTCTTCTGGGAAGCTTTCCCTGCTGGCTCAGCAGAAAGGATGGCGGGCGTCTCCTGAATTTGGCATACCCTGCTTTCTCGTGAGGAACCCCCAGGTGGTGCAGTGGTTAGAGTGTGCCTCCTCCCCTCCCCCCCCCTTTCTTGTGAGGAACCCCCAGGTGGTGCAGTGGTTAGAGTGTGCCCCCTCTCCTCCACCCCGCTTTCTCGTGAGGAACCCCCAGGTGGTGCAGTGGTTAGAGTGTGCCTCCTCCCCTCCCCC